TTTTGCCGTGCTGTACCCACGTATTATTGTTGTTGATGGAAGCAATATGGATGTAAGTAATGATCAGGGCAATGCCGCTACGTAAATGAGCAAACCCTTGAAGCGAATAAGAAAAGAAAAATATTTCAGTTTACCATTAATTATAGAAGTCAGATAAAACCAGGCTGAAGGGAGAAATTTGTCAGTTGGAAGAAGAGCCCGGGAGACGTTTTTATATGAGCGCGTTCACACTACACGATTCGATCGCTCGGACCGCGTGATCAGACCGCTCGAGCGACTGGTATGCAGTGCGTGAACGCGGTCCAGTTTGAATACTGGCGCTGCGATTGGTGATGCACGCACCCGGTCATGGTCCCGTGATCGAAACAATCGGATCGTTAAGTATGAACGCGCTCTGAGATTTTTCAAACTTTATTGTACCTTCATTTCCTTGCGGTTTTACAAGTGGAACTTTCTCTAGTACATACGTCGGCGCGCGTAATTCATCGGTTTTTGATCATTGAAAGGTATTTTAACATTTCGCTCGTATTGTAAGGGAAACATCTTAATAATCCGATGAGAATATCAAGGCTGTCCTGCAATACTCCCATCCCTTTTATGCTCAGGTGTCTGGATGCTTTCATTTCTTAAGAAGGGAGACACATTTTCGACTGCTAATAGTAATATACAAAGTCTCCAAGAGACTTGATTTTCTCTAATATGTTTTCTTTAGTTTCAGTTTTGCTTTTTCTTGCTGGTGTATCAGCTGCCGCGTTTTATACGATAGTGCAATAGTTCGTCCACTTACAGCACACGAAGTTTTGCATCAAGAGTTCTTTTTTTGGTTAGGGCTTCGTTTCCCCGCAACTTCTCGATCATCGGGCAATTCAGTTGCTGAAAGGCCCGAAAAACTGAGGAGAAATAAGCCCCGCGGTGACTGAACCAGCTCAGCCAACCGACAGCTCATTCTCATTTTTAGGCTACGAGCTTATCCTAACCTTCCGAAGTAAATAAAAAACTGCAGCGGCTCTGTATGCTTCAGATGCTCTGCGCCATAATGCCGCACATAAATACCTTAGTGCCCCTTTCGTGTTCCTTTTCATTTTCATAGCATCATTCAGATTCTCATGTTCAGGAGCTCATGCTGAAGTGAAACCCTCTGAGGGTCAGGCTAAAACTGCTCCGGAAGAAAAAATTGTGAAGAAAGATGACAAGAAGCCAGATGTTGCGGATAATGAAGAAGGCTTCTTAAAATCTGAAATGCGTAAGGCACAAGAATATTAGAACACTGTACGTGTGTTAATACTGCTTGTCTGCTGATTTGGAGCATTTGCACATCATATGGTCCTTGTTTTTTTTTCGTATGAAATTAAGTTCATTGTTCAGTTGTTTCATTCAGTTTTCATTGTTTTTAGATAACAAAGAAGTATGCGAGTATCTTCGACTCCGATAGTGATGATGACTCACTGTTTCTTGATCCACGAAAATCGTTACTGAGCTCCGGCGCTAGCTCGGGCGCTAAATCGTTATTCAGTTCCGTCGCTGAAAATGATGAGGTATGTGTTACTGGTAACATTCATTCCCAACACTGAAAACCAGATCTGATATAAATGTGAGATAGCCTGATCAGCTAGACCGAGTTTTATGTGATGGGACATTCTCGATTTAGTCCTCAGAAAGTTCACTGAAAGTGCGTTCATACTTTACGTAAGCTTTTTGAGCGTCCACCGACGTTTTGAGCGTCCGCCAGAGTTTCCGACGACTGAGAACGTATCGGTATCGATCTCGCATTTCGGGCGTATGCCAGCGTTTTAGCGTTCACTAGCGTTTTTTTTTTGAGCGGCTGAGAGAAGTATGAACGCTCGAAACGCTGCCGCAACGTATGAACTCACTCTGAGTGTTGATTAAGAATGCAGTGGTTGAATTGAACA